TCCATTGGATGCAGAGCAGTATAACAAACAGATTTTTATCAATATAGCTGACTGTATCTGTAATTTATAATTTAAACATACTTAAGCAAATCTCTGGAAAGGTTCAGAGATTTACAAATGCAAGTTAACCCTTTAAGCAATAGAGCACTTTTACCATGTTCACTTAGCCTCATCTTAACACCAGGAGGGTTGGGAGAATTCAAGACAGTTATGCCAACCAAGACATACATGTAGTCAGGGGTTTGCATAACTTTCAAGAATTCTCCCAGCCCCCCGAAGTGTTTAGATGAAGCTATGTAAACATGGAAAAAGTGCTCTAAATATTGCTTTTAATAATAATTCTCAAAAATACGTGCAACATCACAACCGTGTTTACATACTCTTATCTGAACACACCTATTGGCCAATGAGAGTGTGCATAGTAGCTCAGTTAATTACTTTATAACATCGCATGCAAGCTTTTTACTCATTGTTTGAACCATACATGTATAACAACTGCATATTTATAAAATAAGATAGAAGGTACAAGCTGGATTTAAGAACAGTGTACAGTAAATAGCTGCAGATCTATGCAGTTTAATTCTTACAAATAATGACTGATCATTTTTCCATAAATTTAAAAGAAAGATGGCATAAAAATCAGAAAGGTAGGTTGGGATACTGCTACATAATGAATTTCAATGTTCAAATTCCAACTAAGCACCAACTATTTGCATGATATCATACACATACTAATGACATTGCATGTCTAGTACCTTATTTCTTGTGTTAAGGACAAGTCCTTTTCATATTGATGAAGATGAGAAAATAAACCAACTTTCTTCTGAGGGGTTGTCCGTTGAGGGACCTAGAGAAAATTTTTGATCAAAACGTGAGCAAAAAATAACCTCAATATTCGCAAAATTAATCATAAAAATTACAATTTCCTCGATTGTGATTGGTTTAAAAAACTCCTATTTTCCACTAATTCACTTGCCAATTTGTTATTGGACAGTTTGTTATTGGACAGTTTCTTATTGGACAGTTTCTTATTGTACAGTTCAATAAGCCAATTACATTCAAAGTTGTAGTTACAAGCGTGCATGCATGCACGCTTGCTTTTGTGTTTTTGGTGTCTAATTGCCGGTAGGAGGCACGGTGGCCTTAGAATGTTTATATCTCCTTTATAGGTATTTTAATGCAAATTTTCCCTTTCTTTCATAACTTGGCTATTCTTCTTTTCTCGGAAATTGTAATTTTTATGATTAATTGGTAATAAGACTTTGCGTCATTCAATTCAGTCTGTAATCATACTCGTGATAAACAAATCGGACTTCCACTCACAGTCGTCTGATTTTGTTATCACTCTTATGATAATAGACCAAATTGGACTCCACTCAGTCCTACAGTATTACCATAATTACAAACTACATGTAAAACAAAAGTTTACTCTTAAAATAACACAGCACTGAATCCCATTGCATGATGTACAGACATGTACACTTACAAACATTGCTAGAATGTGACTACTGACAGTAAATTTCATGAGCCAAGATTACTTTTCCCAGTTCAGAATCACTGCTCAGAATATTAATGGTGTGATCAAACTGATCGATATGTTAGCTAGAAAAGTGAGAAAATTAATTTTGTTACAGTTAAAGTACTCGGTACATCATTCACCCAAGGGTGAACAATGAATTAATTATAATCTATTGCAAATTTGATTATGTTTCTCTTTCAGCAGACATCATGTCCCAAATGAAGAGCTGAAAATTCAAAACAAAACTCCATCAAGTTTTTATTGGCACACTGTAGTTAAAATGGGTACAAAAAGCACATGTAGTACCCATTTCAACCACTAGTAGCCACTCTGAACTCCCAAAAATTGTGACACTCTAACAGAAGTGAGAGGAAAAGCCTGCTAAATCCAAGAGCTGTTATTATCTGAACTTCTCAAACTCATTAATGATTCATCAAGTTTAAACAAAGGAATCATGACTATGATGGTGTTTGGATTATATCTGATCTTAATTAACATAGATTTTAATCATTTTATTTCTCTGTTTTCTCCTTAGTTTTAGTTTCGATTGAAAAGATATATCAAGCACTCAAGGCAGTGTTTGACCACATTTCCAAACACCTGGAAGTTCATAAAAAAATCTCCCCTGTGCATCGTGTTTTCAACTCCCTTCTCAGTGTTTACAAATGTGATCAAACATGGCCTTTCATGTCTGGTATAATACTTCACAGTATTTCTACAGAAACAAAGTTCCAATGAGGTACATGTGCAAATAAAATTTATTATTGTAAGAAGTCCACTAAAAAATATTGTTAACTTGTTCATATTCACACCTGCTGTCTTGCTAATTTCTTGGCAACCTTCTTCTGAACTTTCTCGTCATCAGCTTGGAGATCGTGAGCCACCTGAACACGGTGAGTACCTACCAGAGAAATAACAAAGATATTTTATCAGGGAGCCCACATCACATGTGTGGTTTTCAGAGGGCCCCGGCATAACTGACAAGCTCAACGTTTAAAGTCTCAAAAGCATCTTAGCTTTTCTATCTCTAGAAAAAGGTTGAAAAAGTTATGTATTCAAAGCCAACAAAAACCTCATCACCAAATACTGTAATCATAACAGTTGAAATCAATGTTGATACATGTTTCTAGCAGTAAAATCTGTCTTAAAACCAGTCTGATTTTGTCCCATGTTCATTGTGATCATACAGTACAATGTAATTCCTTTTCAAAAGGAAGTACATGTAACAATCACACTTGTTTAAAAACCAAAAAAGCAAAAATAAATACCCATCATATAGAGATCTGTATTTGGAGTTCTATCACAAGAACTCTGCAGGTAAAGCAGGGGCGGATCTAGGGGAGGGTGTGGGGGGTGTGCCCCCCCCCCCCCCCCCCCCCCACCCCCGAGATGTTCACCATTCCTTAGTGGTGCACCCCCTCCTAAAAAAAACTAATGGATCCGCCCCTGTAGAGATGCCTTAATTCTTAACTATTTCGTATCTCTTTGCGAAACTTGTGAAATATAACAGGCAGAGTACCTTCAGTACTGGTTTTGTGCTTGATTCCTGCATCAGCCTGCTTTTGGGCTTTCGCTGCCCGTTGTGCTTCCTGATTGGGTTAAATTAAAAAAATAATTACAGGATGTTGACGTTTAGAGAGGTATGCGACAAATGCAATTTATACAGCAATGCAATTTATACATTTGAGTACGTGGGTACAGAAAATATCCCTGCCCACACCAAGGATGGTCACTGGAAATTCTGACGGGGTGGGGGATCTCATAGCCAAATTTTAAAGGGAAAGTACGAAACTAAACCTTGAAATTCCAGGGGAGAGGGGGTACAAACCAAATAACCATCCATACAATTTAATCATGAAAATTTCAAAATATATTAATATGTTCACCTGTTTGGCTCTCCTTTCAGCTTTTAGCTCTGCTTTGGTCTTCTGTGGCTGATCACTGCTGTCACCCCCTGCACCAGATGGTTTCTCGTCCTTGCTTGGCACTAGTTTATCACCCTTACTTCCACTGGGCTGCGAGCCAGCTTTCTGTTGTTGTGGCACTTGTTCTTGCTGTTTTTGTTTGTGTTTGTCTTGTTTTTTGCCACTCTTCTGTTGTTTGCCTCCTTTACCCTGCTGTTGGCCTTTTGCAACTTTTGGTTGGCCTTGAGCCTGAATTTTACAATTCACAAATTCAAATTGTATTTATTGGGATATTTCTTGGAAGGCTTGCAAACTTGATTCCAGTTACAGATTTGAAGAGCAAAGCAATTTTTTACAGAGTTTTTCGGGGGTTAAGACATTTCTAATTATTCTATTTGTGGGTTTGGACATTTCAAATACATGTAAGCTTATATTTCTTTTGAGGCTGTACGAACGAAAAAAGATCATTTTAAACTGTATTCAGGACAATTTGGGCGCATGAAATTTAAAGGATGGATTTGAAACAACAACAATAATGCGGTTCTATAGAGAATTTATAGATTTATAATAATTCACCAGTCACGTTTTTAATAATAAAAGTAAAAAGAAAAAAACATCAATTTGAATAGTTATTTTCAAATCTCACTTTCTTACCTCCTTCAGCGGCACTTGGCGGTCCGACTGGTTGGTTTTCTCCCTTCTTATCTGGATAAACAGGAAAGGAAAACAACGTAACGTAACATTCGAACTACGAAAACAACATAGAAAAACATTAATACTCTGCAATGCTGATGCGTTTGTTTCAGAAAGACTGCACAGGAAGTAGTTTTCTCCCGGGGAGTTTTCTACCTTGTGAATCGCTAGCGTCCGCCATCTTGGACAAATGTAACCGCTGGTCGTCTAGTTCTCGCAGGCTCTGTTATTTGGAGCTGACACAAGAAGATTCGTAACCAAGCTCCCTCCAACGCTTGTTTATTTGTTGCTTGCTTGCTTGCTTGTTTATCGGCATTCTGGGTCGCAAAGCAATTAGCCAATCAGAGTGCTTTATTGCCGGTCCAATATTTTCAAGCAGCGGGTAAAATTTTTCCACAGCTCTTTTTTGACTATGATATGCTAATAAGATAGAGCTGGGTTTTCGATCGTCAGTGATATTAACAAAAACTCAAATCAATAAAGACACAAAAAAGCGGCTAAATGACCGGCGTGTATTGGCGGCCTTAAAATTCGCGCTTCTGCCGCCTCTAATAGCTTGAACGCTAAGCCTCTTGAGCTTGAGATTCTTGTTTGATGCGTAACGTTAAAAAACGAAATGCAATTTGCGCAATATGTCTGCGTTTTCTTTCGTTTTTCTCTTAGCACTGGTACCAGTAGAAATGCTGTCGAAACCAACACAAGTGAAGGCGTTCAATTGGTTGAAAGTTCCAACAAACAAAGAGCAATCAATGCCAGCTTGTAAATAATTCTATACAAATTTTTCAAAACATCCTCGAAATGGCGACCTTTTATCGTCCGCAAAGAATGGTTGTAAACTGGGTTGTAAATATCTTGAGCTCCAATTGAAATAGCCGAAAAGGTTAGTCGGGTAGATTTATCTCTTTTTTTTTTACTTACTGACCAGGAGATATGTGTGATATCTTTCGTGAATCAGGTCAAAACATGGTGGGAGGTTAATTGATGATAAATAGGATAAAAAAATATCCTTGAAGTGAAAGTAAATTCTCTCACATCCCGAGTCGACAATTCTGAATTTGGAGGTGTAAGTTAGAACATAACCTGCTTGTGTTTTCTCTGGAAAACATATTAGATTATTTCGACGCGGAGCTTAGTAACTAACGCAAGATATATCTTTCCAGTGTGTCAGAAGCTAAACAAAGGAAACAATCAACTTGTCTCTTTAGGCTCTAATTTTTCTTCCAAGTCGTTAAAAATGTTCTTCAGCTTTGGTCTCAGTTATGTTTACGTAAAATGATGAAACCCTCAGTCAGGATATGCCCGAGGAAATGATAAAAATTTAAAGCTTTGGAGCTGAATACTGCCGGACTGACAAAAGCTTTTGTAAACATTGACATACATACTCTTGCTAGCCTCGTCTTTGCAGTCCGTACTAATATTAGTAACGGACTCAGTTTTTTTTCTTTTCGCTTGGGCCATAAATCGAAGGGAAAAAGCGAAGATCCGTTATCTGGCTAGATATTTTGTGGATCCCTGCTGTGTGTCTGGCAGGTTCAGAAAACCATCTCCATTCACGCGGAAAGGCTTCAAAATGGATGGAGCACGTAGGAGGCAAAAAGAGAATTCGAAGTGGTCGTTACGTCGTTAACGCGTTTTAATATACATTTTTTTTTTTTAAAGTAAATGAAACTTTAAACTTTCCACTTGCCACGAACAACTGGTGATAAATCACGAAACATTTTGGCAACAAGAACAGCTTTAAACTTTAGCGGGTCCCACGGTATAATAGGGCCCGCTAAATTGTCCAATCACAACGCGCGTGGCAACTCGGAGATATAATAAATTGAATTCCAAACTTAGATCAAGGAACTGTAAATCGAAAGACCAGAAAACACGTTAAAAGTCTTAAAGAGTCTCTTCATTCGGCCAGGAGGGCTTAAATGCCTCTCTTTTTGTTTTTGTTTTGTATTGTTTTTGTTTTTGTTTTTTTCATGCAACGAGATTTGCATCGGGCTGATGGATTACAGTATCTTACTGAATCAGATTAATTATGTGCTGTAAGTCTTATTCACGACTGAAATTATCCATTCTTATCAGAATAAAGCTAGTTTCCAGGGAAATCGTGGTCCCAGGAAATCACGTGAATTGACTCTAGAACTAGGTTTTCAACGAACAGTCGCCATCTTGCATTTTATAGCATATATAGAAGAGACTGAGGAAGAATAAGACTAAAAGTTATTTTTTATTTACTTATTATTATTATTATTATCATTATCATTATCATTATCATTATCATTATCATTATTATTATTATTTTCATTTTAAATGTAACTGTTAGCTAATTCATGGTGTTTTTCTTGATGTCGACTTAAGCCACCTGTTTAAGCCACCTGCCAGGTTATACACTTTTGCAGGTTCAAGGAAAAATGAGACAGGAATCAAGCTCTCTTGAGGAAGACCAAGCAGAATGCTGCTTGAACAAAATCACTGTCGAGCCTGTGATATTTTGCTACGCGTTTGGTATCATTCTTCACGTCCCAGTTATACAGCAATACATCCATAGGAGAATAGCTGAGGAGAAAGGCATTATTTACAACACAACGGCAAGTTTAAGTAACTGCGATTCCATTCCAATATCTAGAAACGCAGAAACACTAAAACTGCAAAAGGAGGTGCAGTCAGAAGCATCATTTATGCAACTCGGCATAGTCTTCTCCGCCAGCGCGCCGTCACTCCTGGTCGCGTTGTTTTTGGGGGCCTGGTCCGACCGAGCGGGACGGCGAAGGGTCATGGGTTTGCCCATATTTGGCAGTGCTTTAGAGTCAGCGATAATACTTTGGGTTATATATTTCAACCTTCCAATTCAGACGTTACTATTAGCTGGATTTATCAATGGTGTTTGTGGGTTCTTTCCTACAATGGTGTTGTCTGTGTTCTCGTACATGGCGGACATTACAGAGGAATCACAGCGCGCTTTTCGCCTGGGAATCTTGGAAGCGACGGCTTTTATTAGCGGCATGCTAAGTCACTTGAGTAGCGGTTGGTTGATAAACAAGACTGGGTACAAAGCACCGTATATGATGATACTTTCACTTCACACTTTTGCTTTGTTTTACGTAGTTCTAAAACTCCCGGAATCAAGAGCAAAACATTTAATGGAAAATTCCAACGTGAAAGTCTTTAGCCTACAGCACATCCGGGTTGTCATTTACATCTTCACGAACCCTCGGTCTGGTGAGCGATGGCGCATGTGCATACTGATGCTAACCTCTGGTCTCATGATCGTGTCTTCAATCGGCTTTGGAAGCGTCATTGTACTTTACGCAATAGACCAGCCGTTGTGCTGTAACTCTATTCTAATTGGCTATTACCTAGCAACAAGCTTTTTGGTTCAAGCTGTTGGAGCCGTTTTAGGACTGAAATTTCTGAGGATGGTTTTATCAGAACACGCTCTCATGCAAGTGGGAATGATATCTGTGACTTGCTCGCTTGTTATGATGGCCTTCGTCGGAAGCAAAACATCATTTTTTGTTGGTAAGTAAGTGAGTGAACACTTTGTTTACCGATTGTAGCACCTACGGTGTACAACACTAATAAACTTGTGGCTCTCAATCTAAAATACCATTTACTGAAACATAGCTATAACATCAAAATGAAAAGACACGTGATAAAACTATGAAATATTATATTAAACCTATATACTACGAATTAAAATAGAATTGGTAAATGTTATCAACAGTCAAGTCTTGTATGGAGCCATCTCTGATCTCAAATTTCTTGAATACGACATTGAGAGGACGCTATTTTTTAAGATATTACTGCCTTTAGGTAGCTTTGTTTAGCAACTATTTTAAATTAAATTTATAGGTAGTTTAATTCTGAAAATTAATTTACTCGATAATAACAATGCATTTTCAGGTACCTTTTTATGTAGTATGTTCCCCAGTGAAACAAGCGAGTGAAACAAGAGCCGAAAAAATGGACGCTCTCGCAGGCTAACCGGCCGCCAATCAGCCATGTATCAAATCGTTTTCAAAAAAGTTGACTGAGTGCCTTTGATTACTAGTTTGATTTCACATCTCTTCTTAGTGTTTGGAAATGTGAAGAAACAGTTTCTCCCGTGTTTGATTTTTTACCCCCAAAAAAATCCTTGATCATGTTCTCTGATATGTAATTCGGAGGCCTGGGAGTAAGTATTGTTATAACGCAACCTCCACCTCCACTAGGTGAGCGTGACAAGGTGCATGCCATTTCCTTGGTAAGGAACTATATAGGGTAACTATGTTTGGAGTTCGGGGACAAGCAAATTCATTATTAGAATAACTGTCCAATTCGTGAAAATGACTTATTTTTTCTTCTGACTGGTCCGGTTGAAAAGTCGATCCACTCTTACCCAGAAATGAAGGACAATTTACAGGAAACTGTACTTTGTTGTCTTCTAATGTTCTTGTGAAGTTTGACATGAGTCAAAGTCAATTAAAATTGAAGGGCTAGTATCTAAACAGAAGACCACTTTGAAAACCTAGATGAGCGTGTCAACATACACGCTCATCCTCCATTGGATAAATCGTGTTTTGAACAACTCGGCCCTCGCCCTCTCGTAACTTGATAGTTATCTTGATTCTCTTCATCGATCTCCTTGATGATGTATTGAGNCATTCGAACTACGAAAACAACATAGAAAAACATTAATACTCTGCAATGCTGATGCGTTTGTTTCAGAAAGACTGCACAGGAAGTAGTTTTCTCCCGGGGAGTTTTCTACCTTGTGAATCGCTAGCGTCCGCCATCTTGGACAAATGTAACCGCTGGTCGTCTAGTTCTCGCAGGCTCTGTTATTTGGAGCTGACACAAGAAGATTCGTAACCAAGCTCCCTCCAACGCTTGTTTATTTGTTGCTTGCTTGCTTGCTTGTTTATCGGCATTCTGGGTCGCAAAGCAATTAGCCAATCAGAGTGCTTTATTGCCGGTCCAATATTTTCAAGCAGCGGGTAAAATTTTTCCACAGCTCTTTTTTGACTATGATATGCTAATAAGATAGAGCTGGGTTTTCGATCGTCAGTGATATTAACAAAAACTCAAATCAATAAAGACACAAAAAAGCGGCTAAATGACCGGCGTGTATTGGCGGCCTTAAAATTCGCGCTTCTGCCGCCTCTAATAGCTTGAACGCTAAGCCTCTTGAGCTTGAGATTCTTGTTTGATGCGTAACGTTAAAAAACGAAATGCAATTTGCGCAATATGTCTGCGTTTTCTTTCGTTTTTCTCTTAGCACTGGTACCAGTAGAAATGCTGTCGAAACCAACACAAGTGAAGGCGTTCAATTGGTTGAAAGTTCCAACAAACAAAGAGCAATCAATGCCAGCTTGTAAATAATTCTATACAAATTTTTCAAAACATCCTCGAAATGGCGACCTTTTATCGTCCGCAAAGAATGGTTGTAAACTGGGTTGTAAATATCTTGAGCTCCAATTGAAATAGCCGAAAAGGTTAGTCGGGTAGATTTATCTCTTTTTTTTTTACTTACTGACCAGGAGATATGTGTGATATCTTTCGTGAATCAGGTCAAAACATGGTGGGAGGTTAATTGATGATAAATAGGATAAAAAAATATCCTTGAAGTGAAAGTAAATTCTCTCACATCCCGAGTCGACAATTCTGAATTTGGAGGTGTAAGTTAGAACATAACCTGCTTGTGTTTTCTCTGGAAAACATATTAGATTATTTCGACGCGGAGCTTAGTAACTAACGCAAGATATATCTTTCCAGTGTGTCAGAAGCTAAACAAAGGAAACAATCAACTTGTCTCTTTAGGCTCTAATTTTTCTTCCAAGTCGTTAAAAATGTTCTTCAGCTTTGGTCTCAGTTATGTTTACGTAAAATGATGAAACCCTCAGTCAGGATATGCCCGAGGAAATGATAAAAATTTAAAGCTTTGGAGCTGAATACTGCCGGACTGACAAAAGCTTTTGTAAACATTGACATACATACTCTTGCTAGCCTCGTCTTTGCAGTCCGTACTAATATTAGTAACGGACTCAGTTTTTTTTCTTTTCGCTTGGGCCATAAATCGAAGGGAAAAAGCGAAGATCCGTTATCTGGCTAGATATTTTGTGGATCCCTGCTGTGTGTCTGGCAGGTTCAGAAAACCATCTCCATTCACGCGGAAAGGCTTCAAAATGGATGGAGCACGTAGGAGGCAAAAAGAGAATTCGAAGTGGTCGTTACGTCGTTAACGCGTTTTAATATACATTTTTTTTTTTTAAAGTAAATGAAACTTTAAACTTTCCACTTGCCACGAACAACTGGTGATAAATCACGAAACATTTTGGCAACAAGAACAGCTTTAAACTTTAGCGGGTCCCACGGTATAATAGGGCCCGCTAAATTGTCCAATCACAACGCGCGTGGCAACTCGGAGATATAATAAATTGAATTCCAAACTTAGATCAAGGAACTGTAAATCGAAAGACCAGAAAACACGTTAAAAGTCTTAAAGAGTCTCTTCATTCGGCCAGGAGGGCTTAAATGCCTCTCTTTTTGTTTTTGTTTTGTATTGTTTTTGTTTTTGTTTTTTTCATGCAACGAGATTTGCATCGGGCTGATGGATTACAGTATCTTACTGAATCAGATTAATTATGTGCTGTAAGTCTTATTCACGACTGAAATTATCCATTCTTATCAGAATAAAGCTAGTTTCCAGGGAAATCGTGGTCCCAGGAAATCACGTGAATTGACTCTAGAACTAGGTTTTCAACGAACAGTCGCCATCTTGCATTTTATAGCATATATAGAAGAGACTGAGGAAGAATAAGACTAAAAGTTATTTTTTATTTACTTATTATTATTATTATCATTATCATTATCATTATCATTATCATTATTATTATTATTATTATTATTTTCATTTTAAATGTAACTGTTAGCTAATTCATGGTGTTTTTCTTGATGTAGACTTAAGCCACCTGTTTAAGCCACCTGCCAGGTTATACACTTTTGCAGGTTCAAGGAAAAATGAGGCAGGAATCAAGCTCTCTTGAGGAAGATCAAGCAGAATGCTGCTTGAACAAAATCACTGTCGAGCCTGTGATATTTTGCTACGCGTTTGGTATCATTCTTCACGTCCCAGTTATACAGCAATACATCCATAGGAGAATAGCTGAGGAGAAAGGCATTATTTACAACACAACGGCAAGTTTAAGTAACTGCGATTCCATTCCAATATCTAGAAACGCAGAAACACTAAAACTGCAAAAGGAGGTGCAGTCAGAAGCATCATTTATGCAACTCGGCATAGTCTTCTCCGCCAGCGCGCCGTCACTCCTGGTCGCGTTGTTTTTGGGGGCCTGGTCCGACCGAGCGGGACGGCGAAGGGTCATGGGTTTGCCCATATTTGGCAGTGCTTTAGAGTCAGCGATAATACTTTGGGTTATATATTTCAACCTTCCAATTCAGACGTTACTATTAGCTGGATTTATCAATGGTGTTTGTGGGTTCTTTCCTACAATGGTGTTGTCTGTGTTCTCGTACATGGCGGACATTACAGAGGAATCACAGCGCGCTTTTCGCCTGGGAATCTTGGAAGCGACGGCTTTTATTAGCGGCATGCTAAGTCACTTGAGTAGCGGTTGGTTGATAAACAAGACTGGGTACAAAGCACCGTATATGATGATACTTTCACTTCACACTTTTGCTTTGTTTTACGTAGTTCTAAAACTCCCGGAATCAAGAGCAAAACATTTAATGGAAAATTCCAACGTGAAAGTCTTTAGCCTACAGCACATCCGGGTTGTCATTTACATCTTCACGAACCCTCGGTCTGGTGAGCGATGGCGCATGTGCATACTGATGCTAACCTCTGGTCTCATGATCGTGTCTTCAATCGGCTTTGGAAGCGTCATTGTACTTTACGCAATAGACCAGCCGTTGTGCTGTAACTCTATTCTAATTGGCTATTACCTAGCAACAAGCTTTTTGGTTCAAGCTGTTGGAGCCGTTTTAGGACTGAAATTTCTGAGGATGGTTTTATCAGAACACGCTCTCATGCAAGTGGGAATGATATCTGTGACTTGCTCGCTTGTTATGATGGCCTTCGTCGGAAGCAAAACATCATTTTTTGTTGGTAAGTAAGTGAGTGAACACTTTGTTTACCGATTGTAGCACCTACGGTGTACAACACTAATAAACTTGTGGCTCTCAATCTAAAATACCATTTACTGAAACATAGCTATAACATCAAAATGAAAAGACACGTGATAAAACTATGAAATATTATATTAAACCTATATACTACGAATTAAAATAGAATTGGTAAATGTTATCAACAGTCAAGTCTTGTATGGAGCCATCTCTGATCTCAAATTTCTTGAATACGACATTGAGAGGACGCTATTTTTTAAGATATTACTGCCTTTAGGTAGCTTTGTTTAGCAACTATTTTAAATTAAATTTATAGGTAGTTTAATTCTGAAAATTAATTTACTCGATAATAACAATGCATTTTCAGGTACCTTTTTATGTAGTATGTTCCCCAGTGAAACAAGCGAGTGAAACAAGAGCCGAAAAAATGGACGCTCTCGCAGGCTAACCGGCCGCCAATCAGCCATGTATCAAATCGTTTTCAAAAAAGTTGACTGAGTGCCTTTGATTACTAGTTTGATTTCACATCTCTTCTTAGTGTTTGGAAATGTGAAGAAACAGTTTCTCCCGTGTTTGATTTTTTACCCCCAAAAAAATCCTTGATCATGTTCTCTGATATGTAATTCGGAGGCCTGGGAGTAAGTATTGTTATAACGCAACCTCCACCTCCACTAGGTGAGCGTGACAAGGTGCATGCCATTTCCTTGGTAAGGAACTATATAGGGTAACTATGTTTGGAGTTCGGGGACAAGCAAATTCATTATTAGAANGACTCATGAAAGAGAGGACAAAGATTGCACATTAAACGGCGAAAAAGTGACCCAGGACTAATATATTAATAAACTGATTAATGCCACTGAGATTTTTTTCCCATCATTTTCTCTACTTTGGTTGAAGAGGACATTTTCATATTCTATAACATAAAAAGCTAGAATAATTTTCTGACCTTACCTATGTCAGAGATCAACATAACTGAACAATTCCCCAATATTTGGGATGCAGAATGTTAGCGCTTTTTTTTGAAACGCGTCAGTTTAACCAAAAATGCATAAGATCATTTATCGGCCCAAATTTTGCTCGTTAGAGAATTAGATAAGTCAATTGGACAGAATTATGGAGAAAAAAAGAAAGAATTGTGTTTTTCTTTAATAACCCACAAAGACTTATTTTATGAAAGAAGAAAGTACTTATAAATGCCTTTTTGTAAAACCCTGGTACAAAAGAAACGTTCTTATTTGATCCGGGATATATAACGAAACGCTTAATTTGCAAAGCGTGCAGGCACGTGCTACTGTTAGTAATAAACAAGGATTAAAGAAACTCTGCCACATGCTGCTTGAGAACTTCAGTGGTGAAAATCTCAGCTAACTGAACAAACTTACAACTGCTACTCTTTACTACTGCTACTCTACTGCTAACCCTATCTATTCCATCACTTCAAAATCACGAGCCTATCACGTGCCATTGCATTGTTCCGGTGTCCTTAAGCACGTGATCACGCGATCACGTGATTGCTATAGGCGTTGTTTCTTTTTAACCTTGACTATATACGCTGCTGTTTAGTTCTAAATCGTAATCATCATACCAAACGAAAGAATATATATGAAATCAGGAGCCACGCTGATGAAATATACATGTGGTTTATTGAATCGAATCGATAATCAAATCCAGTGATCCGCAATTTCACTGTTGCATGATATATGGCCCTCAATTTAGCAGGCTTGACCCAAGAGTTGTTTTCTTTTAAAATTACATCCACCGTCAATTTGTTCAGTGACTGTAGAGTTTCATTAAATTGTCAGCAAAAACAACTAAGAGTCGCCATCTGGAGTTTAATGTCAGACTTCATTAATTACTTAAAATTACTACGCAATTTTCATTTTTTGTCACCCCTCTAGAGTAAGCACCAGCAATCTCCATGTTGTGACCTTCACATTTCCAGTAATCCCATGAACGGAAATCTTTGATCCTTAAAAGAACCGTTTTTCCAACACTTTCCAACACAAGTTTGTCGCCTGTCAGGTCGGAAAATTTAGAATTCGCCTTCTCAAGCCCGTAGTGCTTGTTCGTCAGGTTTCTGATGTGAGGTTTGGAAGAAGGTAGAATTTCTTTAATCGTGTCCGCGATCTCTTCAGGTTTCTGTCCCACGTTGGCGGTCAATTCCGTCATCCGGGCAGTTACAGACTGCATGAGCTGGACAGACGTCTGGTCAGCGGTTGGCAGGTCTACTTTGCTTACCATGCCCTTCAAGTTACTGATGAAGGACGTGACAAACGGACCCGGCTCGACCAACGAGATCCTGTAAAACAAAAGCTCGCAAAGAATCTTAGGTCCATATCAAAATATGTTAATTGCACGAAGCTGTTCAAATGAAAACAACTGAGCAATACTTTAATGCGATCCTGCTCATTACGCTCTGCAAGGCGGTTCTAACTTTTAAATCTGTGGATGAAACCCTAGTGTGTGACCATTCAAATGAAAGCTATTGGGCAGTACTTTCATGTGGTACTGTCTATTATGCTGTGCAAGGTAGTTCTAGCTTTTCAGTGTGTGGGTGAAACTCTGGTTTGTGACCATTTAAATAAAACCCATTGAGCAGTATTTTCATGAGGTGCTGTAGGTTTTAACTTTCCTCGATCCAAGTCTGTGGATGAAAATGATGCGTGACCACTTTGATGGGGTAGTGTTTGTTTTTCAACACTTCGTAAAATGAAATTTGGTATCAGTTCAGTCGATTTTATTCCACTCAAGGGTTAGAACGGTTAATAAAATGTGTTTGCTAGTCTTTGAAAATATTTCAAATAGAAAAAATCTCATAAACTGTTAACTCTAAAGGAAGACATCGAACGTGTTTTTAAAACACCCTCGTCGATATTTTTTTCCTTCAGACACTTTTAAATTTTTTTTGAGTGGTTAATTTACAGTTGAGCCTCAGCTATAGAGCACACCTTCCTAGGCAGCAAGACTTAGCTCTTGACTTAACACTGTTTTAACCAAAAGCGAACATCAGGAACAAAACTCGCTTACTTGATATTAAACTGTTTCAACACAGGCGCCAGAAATTCTGTTAAACCTCCCATGGCAAACTTTGCCGCTGTGTACATGTCATTGAACGGTCCTCCCGTTATTCCGAAGATACTGCTCACGTTTACTATGTAACCGTCCTCCCTCGCTTTCATGCCACGGAGCACGGCCTGGGTCAGACGCACAGCTCCAAAGAAGTTGATGTCAAACATTTCTTTGATGTGTTCCATGTTCATACATTCCAAGACCGCAACGCCACCAATACCAGCGTTGTTTCCAGGAGGCAAAGAAAAATGTTAGCTCCCCTGAATGATTTACTTGTATCCCCACCCTCCATTCCCTGAGCCTGCAAGGGTTTATACCCTCCCCCAAGGGAACTCATATAAAAGGACGGGGGTGTTTGTCGGAAATTTAAAAAAAAAACAAGCAAAATTGGTCAATTTTAAAGTGGTACTATGATCAAATTTTTACCCCTTGAGTTTTTGGGTGTATCACGTAGAATTCCATGAAAGAATAAAAACGCTGTTTACCGTTTGCAAATATCTGCATTAGTTCCAGAGATATTTAAGTTTGAAAAGTGTATGAAATATGCAAACGAGATGACTGATGACGTCATACACTCAACCCAATATTATATCAAGTCTATGAATAGAGCTATCTCAGTCA